GGGGAGTTTTGGCGCCCCGCCCGGGAGCCCCGCGGGCGCCAGCCATGTTCTCGGAGCGGGCAGCTCCCACCGCACAGAGCCTGCTGGCGCCGCCGTCCACGGAGGCCTCCACGTTCGCCAGAGTGCCCGTGTCCACCTATGCGAACTGCTCCCAGCACTTCCGGCTGGCGGAGCGCAGCTTTAATCGCCAGTATGCCCACATCTACGCCACTCGCCTCGTTCAGATGAGACCCCTCCTGCTGGAGAGAGCCCGGCAGAAATGGGGTGTGCGAACTGCTCCCAGCACTTCCGGCTGGCGGAGCGCAGCTTTAATCGCCAGTATGCCCACATCTACGCCACTCGCCTCGTTCAGATGAGACCCCTCCTGCTGGAGAGAGCCCGGCAGAAATGGGGTGAGTTCCTTCCCTTCGTCTGGTTGACGAGGTGACAGTAGCATCCTAGGCGAGGAGTACATTCTCAGACCAGTATCTGCCTGCCCTTCTTAACATATGCGCAACGTGCGTCCGATGCCATGTGGTCAGGCTCCTTACCAAATCTGGACCACTGGTTGGATCACTAGTTTCCCTGGCTTTGGCCAGGTATGATGGGGAGTGTTTGCACAGAGCGTGCACACTGATCCGTGCCCTTCACTGCCTACCCTGGAACCTGCTTTTGGACAATGAGTGAAACCAACTGAGAGTGAATCTCAGTATTGTATTTCACTTGCCAGGTTGCAGGGGGAAACTGGTGTGTCTGCTGAGAAGCCATGTGCTGTCTCTTTGATTTTTGAAGGATACAGAGAACTGTTTCTAAGCAAAACAAAAAACAATATTCCTAGTAACTGAAGCCTCAGGACATTTTGTTAGTTCCTAGGTAACACTTTGTCTGCCCTGAATTCCAGCCCTGCTCCTGTCAGGTTAGGGACTTGCTCCAAAGGGTTAGCATGTCTACAACATCTGGGTGGGAAAACATCTACCATTGCCAAGCAGTGACTCTGGCTTGGAAAACCTTCCATTGGGCTCAGAGAAAAGGAGGCATGTGTTTCGGAAACAAAAGTTTCATTCAGGTAGCATTAAGAGTCTGAGATGAGCACTCCGTGGCCAGGAAGGAATGTCACTGAGTTTGTCTCCAGCAGAGAATGAGACGTGTGAGCGAGAGGCTACATAGGGTTGAGGACTGCGGGTTGAAGGAGTCATCTTGCTCTTGGTCTCTGGATTGCTGTTTATTGATGGAATTACTGTACCTGAATTGGTTTCCTTCTGAACGTGTTATTGATGGAATTACTGTACCTGAATTGGTTTCCTTTTGAATGTGTAACTGCTGTGGAAGTGGGTCTGGCCCACGAAAGCTCATCATCTAATAAACCATCTTGTTAGTCTTTAAAGTGCTACATTGTCCTGCATTTTGCTTCAGCTGCACCAGACTAACACGGCTACATCTCTATCACTAACTGCTGTGGAGCGTGGCCATGAAACGTTGTGCAATAGTGTAACTGGCAGGTACCTTCCTTATTGCGTGATTTGAGGCAAGAGCTGCAGATGCCAGAACTCACTAGCTAAAGATAAATACCTGGCTCCTTTTCGGAAGGTTCTGGCCCAAGGGTGACTCTGGCATAGCTAGGAGAACATGAGAAATGGAAGGACCAAACCAAAGGACCAGAATAGAGCCAAGACTAATTGGTTTTTAAAGAGTCTCATAACATGCATAAAAACATAAAGGCTGTGTCTAGACTGGCCAATTTTTCCGGAAAATCAGCCACTTTTCCGGAAAAACTTGCCAGCTGTCTACACTGGCCGCTTGAATTTCCGCAAAAGCACTGACGATCTCATGTAAGAAATCAGTGCTTGTGGAAATACTCTTCTGCTCCCGATCAGGCAAAAGTCCCTTTTGTGCAAAGCTTTTGCGCAAAGGGGCCAGTATAGACAGCTCAGATTTGTTTTCTGCAAAAAAGCCCTGGTCGCGAAAATGGCGATCAGGGCTTTTTTGCGGAAAAGCGCGTCTAGATTGGCCGGAAAAAGCATTTCCGGAAAATCATGCCAGTCTAGACGCAGCCAAGAGCGGCCTCACCAGGTCATATCAGTGATCCATCTCGCCCAGCGTCCTGTCTTCTGACAGTGGCCAATGCCAGGGGCTCCACAGGGAATCGCTAAGTGAGCCCTCTCCTGTCACCCGTTCCCAGCTTCTGACAAACCGAGGCCAGGGTCACCCTCCCTGCCCAGCCTGGCTAACAGCCATTGGTGAATCTGTCCTCCATGAATTTAGCTCTTTATTTAAAAAATCCTGTTAAAGTCCTGATCTTCACAAAATCCTCTGGCAAGGAGTCCCGCAGATTGACTGTGCTGCGCGAAGAAATACCTCCTTTTAAACCTGCTACCTATTCATTTCTTTGGGTGACCCCTAGTTCTTGTGTTGTGGGAACAAGTAAATAACTTTTCCTTCTTTGCTTTTTCCGCAACAATCATGATTTTACAGCCCTCTATCATATCTCCCCCCCTTAGTCTCCTCTTTTCTAAGCTGGAAAGCCCCAATGTTATTAGTCTGACCTCATATGGCAGCTGCTCCAAATAATTTTTGTTGCCCTTTTCTGAACTTTTTCCAATGCCAAACTATCTTCTTTTAATCTCATTACTTTAAGGTGAGGGCTGGTTTTTGATTGTAGATCTCATGGGACTGGTGATGTTGCATTGTTTGCTACATGGCCATCTAAATTCTTAACTAACCAAAGCATCTGGCTTGTGCTACTGGTGGAGAGCAGGTGACAATGTTTGCTAGCTGTTAGAGGTCGCTAACATAGATAAAGGAATAACGGGAATTCACACAAAGTGCTTCAGTAACTAACCAAAGCATCTGGCTTGTGCTACTGGTGGAGAGCAGGAGACAATATTTGCTAGCTGTTAGAGGTCGCATCCTGAAGATAAAGGAATAACGGGAATTCACACAAAGTGCTTCAGTACCCCATGATTGTGTTGAAATCAGCTGTGCAGAGGGGACTGGCTGGTTCTGTGGCATGGCGATGGAGTGGAGTGTTTCATTGCTCAGTGGGGATGGTCCGCGCCCAACCCAGGCAGGAGCTGTTTCTCTTTAGTTGCTTTCCAGTGGCTTGAGTTAAGTGAGTGAATTATCTCAGGGCGCTGAGTAATGGGCAAGTGTCCCCATCAGAGCCCCCCACAGTGGTCACTTGTGGAGGCCCCTGGTCAGACTTGGCAGAGAGGTTGAAAGTGGAGGATGAAATCTCCTGTTATCCCAATGGCCTGTGTTGGAGACGGGGATTCCTCCCCAGGTGTCTGGCTGGTGGCTCTTGCCCACATGCTCAGGGTCTAACTGGTCAGCATGTTTGGGCTCAGGAAGGGATTATCCCCCAAGTCAGATTGGCTGAGACCCTGGGAGTTTTCTCCTTCCTTGCAGCATGGGATACGGGTCACTTGCTGGTTTAAACTAGGGTGTGACTTGGATTCATGATTTGAAGATGCAGAGATGCAGCCAGGGGCTCGGGGTCTCTTTCAAGAGTGGGGAGGTGAGGTTCTGTGGCCAGACTCAATGATCACAATGGTCCCTTCTGGTCTTAAAGTCTGTGAATTTCTAGGTTCCCTCTGGGAAGTGATGGGTCCCTTGAGGTGTGCTGGTCGGGGCCTGTCCTTCGGCTCGCTGGCTGTACCTGCCCCGCACAGGGATAGGCAGGGCTTGAATCTCCTGGGTTGCCTGGCCAGCCCTTGGCACAGCATTCACACTCTCCCAGAAGTGGCATCCCCGTGGGCTAGGCTGATGTCCCAGCAAAGTGCAGACTAACCCCGAGGAGCAGTGTCCTTCCATCCCGGCTGGTTAGAATTCCTGTGGCTCAGCGGCCCCAGGGCCAGAATAGCTCTCCTGGCATAAGCACCTATCTGCCCCTGTAGCTGCCCCCGCCCTGGGAGAGGCTGCATCTCTCCGGGGATCGTTAACGTGCTGCTGTGGCCGTGGGAAGGCAGGACGTGCGAGAGACGAACCGAAGCAAAGCTGCAGAGAGTCTGTCACAAGCACTCCTCTCTTCCCTTGGCATGTGGCTTCTTTGTGTTTGCACCTTCCCGGGGCTGGCACCCCCTGCATTCGAAAGTCAAAGGGACCCAGAGCCTTCCTGGCAGCCTCCCACCCAGGTTTCTCCGTTCTCCGACAACCTCCCTGCACGCGCACGCCCTTTGGGGGGCTCATGCCAGGAGCGGGCCAGTTCCCATGGGGGGCAGCAGCAGCCAGCAAGGCTTAATGCCCATTTGTATGGGGCAGTACCTGGGCAGGTCTTGGACTGTTTGCCCGGCGCTGAATGAACACAGACTAAACAGCCCATCTCTGGCCAAAAACAGCTGCACTCTGAGACCAGACGCAGCAGGCGAGTTAGTCAGAGGAGCACAAGACACAGACAAGCCACTGTAGAAGTAGGTTTTGGGGTTGCTCCTCCAGGGCCTCTCTGCCATTGGAAATGCACTGAAATAGCTCACCAGGAATAATTAATCTGGAATGACCCCCTGTGGGCCCGCTTAGTCCAGCGCGTGGGTCTCTTCCTCCAATTCAGCTTCATCTGCTTCCGAAAAGGGGGTGGAGGTAAATGGAGCAGAGGCAGGGTGTTCTGGACCCTGTGTGTGTCCACATAGGGCACGGGGGGGGACACCTCCTGCCCAGGGGCTGGGTGTGGCCCCCAGCTTGCCTGGATCCAGCCCCCAGGCTGCACGTTGGCGCTCCTGCCCCTCCACGGGGCTGGAGCATATAAAATCTACTAGATTGGGCCCCGGCCCAAAGAAGGTTCCCTCCCCTGCCATACGGAGTTATTCTGGGATGCTTCATTTGTACAAACAAGCCCGTCCTCCGTCTCCATTTGAGCCAGCCCCAGCCTTGGAGCCCTGAGAGTCGGGTGCAGCCAGACTGCCGTTGAACCTGGCTGTAGTGCCCAGTGCCGGAGGCTCTTGTGGTGTTGCAGGCCTGCTCCCCTGCAGTGTCTCTGAACCCCACCCTGACTTCCTGTGGGAGGAACTGAGGCCCTGACGCCAAAGGAAATGACCCAGAATCAGCCTCCCACTTTGGCAGCTGAGTCTCTCAAGGAATTTTTGTTTCAACATTTGTCTTGGAGCCTGAGGAGCTTGCAGCTCTCACGTTTGGGATGGGTCTTGCGAGCAGTCCTGCTCTCGGAGGGCTGTGGCGGATCAGAGCTCTGCAGTCCTAGGGGGCATGGCCACACAGGAAGGACTGGCTGTCCTTGTCCTGCTTTGGGGGTGCCCTTGTCAATCTTGGGCTAGGATGCTCCGCAGGAGGTTGGGCGTGCGAACAGCGCGGAGGCTTTCTGGAGCGGCCACGCTGAGCCACGTGGGCCAGAGCCTTGGTCTGGCTTCGCACTGCTGCTGAGGATTCAGTGGAAGCTTTCAGGTGGCCATGGAAAGATGGGCTGTAGCCCAGCCAGGAGGAATTGCCAGGGCGATGCAGGAGGCCTGTCTAGACGGCGTCTTTGAAATCTCTGTGTCTGGACTGAGGAGTCTCCCTTTCCCCGAGGGCGGAGGGTGTGACGTAGTGGGGGGGAACTTGCTGGTTTCTATGGGTCTGTGGTACCCCCACTGGCTGCCGCCGGTACCACAGCCCAGAAGGACAGGAATGGGTCATTATGCAAAGGGATCTCTCAACCGGGTCTGACCAGCTAACCCCCATGGAGAGGAACAAAGGAAGGTGGAATGCCGCCCTGGCTGGGGGGCAGGGCTGGAGGAGAGGGAGCTAGTTTCTGTCTGGGAGCATGGAGGAAGCCGCCTCAGCCTCAGCTGAGACCCCCCCATATCAAGGGGGGCTGAGGCATCCTAGGCCTGCCCTGTAACCTGATGACATCTGTGCTGTGCTGTATCCTGGAGAAGCAATAAACCAACTCTATTCTACTGGCTGGTGGAGTCTGTTCGTACCATTTCGGGGGTGCAGGAGCCGGGAGAACCCCAACGCGCCGTCACAGAGGGGTGCCGGATGAGGCAGTGTTCTGGTTACTCGCTCTGGAATCAGAAAACAAAGGGGCTGTGGCCCTCTAGCTGTGATTCCTGAGGGGCCAGCCAACAGCCCGGTGCATGGGCGGGCAGAGAGGAGACCGAGCAGGCAGGCTGATCTGCGAGCCCCTGGGAGGGGCTTGGCGCTCAGGGAAGGGAAGGGACGCGCCTCCTTTCTGTACCCGCTGAGCGCGAGGCCAGATGTCGGCATCGCTGGGACCGACAGCCGTGTCTCCCCGGGCTGCTGTGACTGATGTTGATGCACGTCGTGAGGGATGTGGAGAATCCTGAACTCGGGTCTTGGCTGGCAGGGGGAAGGGGAGCACAGTTCCCAGGGTCTGGTGTTGGCCGTCAGAGGCTTAGGGACACCCAGACCTAGTCCCCTGACTAGGGATGTACAAAGTCGTTTGTACAGGTAACCGTGTCATGGCTAAAAATCCCAGGGGGTACACGCACTGCGGGCCCTGCAGTGTAACTGGCATCCCAGTCCCTGACCGTCGTGGCAGATAGCCGGAGATGGGCCTGGCCACCACAGACTGGCCTCTTGTTCTTTTCTGAACCATGAAATGCCCCAGCCCAAGCTCCGCTGCTTGCTTGGCTGTTGCATGAAGCAGTTCTTCCTTCTGGCTGTCACCTGCCCTGACAGCTCCCCTTTCAGACCTGGCCTGCTCCACGCACCCTACCAGCCTCTGCTCTGCCGTCTCACAGGAGTGGGAAGCGAGACATGAATCAGCAGTGTGACACTTGCCAAAAAAGCCGTCCTGATTCTGGGCGGCATTAGCAGGAGTGGTGTGAGCAAGACACGAGGAGTCGTTCTTCCCCTCCACTCTGCGCTGATCAGGCCGCAATTGGAGCGTTGTGGCCAGTTCTGGGCACACATTTCAGGACAGATGTGGAGAAGGTCCAGAGAAGAGCAACAAAAATGCTGAAAGGCCTAGAAAACAGGAGCTAGGAGGGAAGACTTGGGCTTGCTTAGTTTAGAAAAGAGAAGACAGAGGGGACAGGAGAGCAGTTTTGAGGTATCTAAAAGAAAAATGGCTCTCCTTGGCCTCTGAAGATAGAACAAGAAGCAAGGGGCTTAAACTGCAGGGAAGGAGGTTTAGGTTGGACATTAGGAAAAAATGTCCTGTTTGTTGGGGGGTGGGATAAATTGCCGAGGGGGGTTGTGGAATCTCCATCCCTGGAGACATTTCAGAGCAGACTAGACAGACGCTGTCAGGGATGAGCTAGCCCAGTGGTCACCAGCCAGTCGATCGGGATCTCCCGGTAGATCTCAGAGCCTCCGGCAGGTGATCCCAACTGGTTTGGCCAAGAGGCTGTCAAGTGCCGGCACTTCAGCTGCTCCTCCCCCCACTGCTGCTCCTCTCCTGCCCTTTGCCTTGGAGCTGCCCCTTCCTGCTTGCCGTACAAGGCAGGGGAGGGAGAAGAGGGGGCTGATGTCAAGGTGCCCCCTCCCACTCTGAATCCTTTCTCCACGGAGCAGAGAGGGGACACAACAGGACTTGGGAGGGAGTTTGCTGGCTGCTTTAGGGAGTGGGCCAGGGCCAGAGCAGGGGTGAGCTGCCTTAGCCCCACGGCACCGCCCTCCCAGGAGCCACCTGAGATAGGCAGGGCCCAGCTGGAGCCCACAGCCTGAACTCCTACCCCAGTCATGAACCCCCTCCTGCACCCTGAGCACCCTGCATCCAAACACCTTCCCAGAGGCTGCACCTAGAACCCCTCCTACTTCCCAACGGCCTGCCCCAAGCTCAGCTCAGAGCCCCTCTCACGCTCCAGATCCCTTCATCCAAGACCAGAGCCTGCCCCCCAGCCTGGTGACAGTGAGGGAGGATGGAGTGAGCAGGGGCCGGAGGGAGGTGGGACCAGGGTATTTGTATCTGAGGTAGCTCTTGGACTGCACTTCAATTCAGAAAGTGACCTCGTGCTTAAAAAGGTTGGGACCCCGAGCTAGGCGGTGCTTGGTCCTGCCGTGGGGGCAGGTCTCGTGTTCTCTGAGGCTGGGGGCTGGGGATGCAGCGTCCCGCGGCTGCCGCTAGAGGGCATCATCCCCTTTTGTTTCACCGCACAGCCTCCCTCTCCAGTGGGTCTCCCCAGAATTGGTCCTGGCCAGGCCAGCTCAGGGACGGGGCTCTGGGAGCATCGGCAGGGGCTTGCCCCCGGTGATTCCTAAACCGCGGCAGTGCGGGCGCTGGGAGCGCATGGCTCAGACTTGGGAGCGCTGGTTCCTGCTGTGCCTTAGAACAGGCTCCTTCTGCCCCAGGCCCACCCGGGTAACTGCTGCAGATACCCCTCCTGGAACGTCCCGTGGGGGCTCAGCTGCGCCCCGGCCTCAGCCGTGCTGGTTCCTCTCCGCGAGAGCGCTCAGGTCCGTGTCACAGTCCGGGCATCCTGCCTGTGGGGCCGGGGGCACCCCTGTGACGTGTGCAGGCACTGGGGGATGGACAGAGCTGTCTGCCCCCCTGCCTCTCGGGAGGTCTAGAGAGTGTTGGCTGCGTGGGGGCTGAGGGCTTCCCTCCCCACACACACAGGAGACGGGCTCTTGCTGCCTTGAATCCATTGCCCTGTGCAGCTCTGTCTCTGTAGAGCATGGGTTCCCAACCTGGGGGGCATGAAGAAATTCCAGGGGGGGGGGTACGAGGTGACCCAGATCCCCTCCCCTTAATCACCGTCTCCTAAATTTTGCTGCTATTTTTGTTTTTCAGCCCCAGTCAGTTCCTTTCTTTTTTTTTTTTTTTTTTTTCCCCAAGTTTTGCTGCTTTGGGGGGGGGGGGGGGGGTTTTTCAAAAAAAAAAAAGGGGGCGGGG